ATGGAAAGAGAAATCTAAATCTTTAACAAAGCTTCCAAAGATGAGAACCGATACACCATGAGATTATGCATTAGTACTCTAGTATGGACAAGAATCCTAACATCGGGCATAGCCACAAGCGTGCTTAATGAAATGTTGACGTGAGCATATGAAGGCCACCACGACTGCGAACAAAGGAACAAAGGTGAAAGGTTTCGTTGGAAATAGGTTGATATTGCACTACGAAAAATGACCCTAATCCTCTGTTTTGTTGGGGAAAAAATACACAAATATGAAATGCACCATTCTACCATCATTATAGGGCCTTTTTTCCACCCATGTAGATGCATATAATCACGTCTAAAATTGTGATTGTGTGATCCTACTCAAGCTTGCTCAAGTTTGCTTGAGTCCACTCGAAAATGAGTTTGTTTACGAGTTAAACGGGTTAGCCTTACTAAGCATGTGAACTTGTGTGTTTTTTACGACTTAACAATCGAGTTTGATAACCATGCCAACAATAATGAAATTGCTAAGATGGGCTCGGATATTGTATTAAGAAAGTCAGTTGGAGTCTAATTCAACTTTACAAAACCGGTTTGTAAGGTTAGGATTATTCTGCATTTATATACCTTATTATGGTTTTATCCCTTGTTGATGTGAGATTTCTAATAGACATTTCACGAATAGAGGGAAAATGGGTTGAAACAGAGGGTAGGGGTCCCAAAATAACTAGGTGGATCACTCTTAAATGGGGTGGGGTGGGGCTGAAGTTAGGTTTTCCCTATCTGTGGCTGTGATATTGTGACGTCAAAACACAATGTGAAAACACATCATCACACGGGAGGGAGGCTTGGAACATGGAGTGACACATAATAGCATTGCAAACTTGCATGATTAACTATTTTGGGCATGTCTATTGCTGAAATAAGTGCTTCATATTGCTCAAATGATATAAGCAAAAAATCACATAATAGCTAATTGTACGTCAACTCATTAACATTGTAGTTCTTCATTTTGCCCTTATGGGCGAGTTTGGGAGTTGGATTTTGAAAGGGAAGGGAGAGAAAAATCAACCTTTTGTTTTATTTCTAATAAATCCTTTCTACTGTGAGAGTTTTAAAAAAATGAAAGAAATGAGATGATAGATTAGCATAAATTTAAAATTCTATTTAGGGGAGAAAATAATTAGAGAGGGGTGTGAAAATATTGGGTATTGTTCAAGAGGTTCCTGGTTCCTCGAACTACTAGGAAAACATTGTTCTCTTTATTTTTACCCATCATCAATAAATAAATATTGTTCTTCCATCTTTTCCTGTTTTCTTGGTTTGGGTTCTATCTATAATGTCTGCTGCCTCCCTTCTCTAATCTTAATTAAATCCTTAAAAGATAACGATAAATCTCCTAAAAGATAAAGAAAACAATTCTCCTAAAAGATAAAGATAACCTCCAAATAACAAATGATAAAGATCATAATATTCTAATAAGAAAAAGATAATGATAATGATTGCCAAAATAACTGAAAAGATTATTATCGCCTAATTCCTTTGCATCTTCCTCCTCTAGTAGACTTGCCTAAAAGGGACCCGTACCTTGTCAATACCATCTCCTTCAAATTGCACCTTGTCTTCAAGGTGGAGTTGAGAAAAGGAAAGTTGAATCTCTCTTGCGAGTTCCCAATTGTTTTCTCAATCCGACATATGTTGTCCCTTAAGGAGGACCTCCAAATTCCCACTATCATTTAGTCTTGATGCTAAAACAACTTCTAGTTATACTTGGAGCTCATGATCATTTGTCAAATTAGTTGGTAGAGGTTGTGGTTGTTGATGGCAGTCCACTACCTCTTTTATTAAAGAAACGTGGAATACCGGATGAATTTTGTTGTCATTTGGGAGTCCCAACTTGTAAGCAATTTCTCCTACTTTCTATAGCAGCTTATAGGGACAATAGAATCTTGGTCTCAACTTTTCATTAGGTTTCCTGGCTAGAGAACGCATCTTGTGGGGTTTTAATTTTAAGAAAATCCCATCACTCTTCTTGATATGCAACTCTCCTTTATGGCTATTCACTAAACGTCTCATCTGATTTTGGGACTTCAATAAGTTGGCTTGCAAATCCCTCAATAAGTCATCCATGTGCTCTGTTAATCAGTTGATCACCTCAAGCTTGGAAGAAATATTTGTCCCCTTCAACAACAAAGGGGGATCTCAACAGTATAAGTGACATCTTAGTAGAAGCATTGTAGTTTGTGTTGAACCAAAACTCAACCCCTTGGATGAGCTTAAGAGAACTAGATGTCTTGATTAATTTTGGATCTTCCTTCATTCAGCACTATGGTCTCCCCTTGCACTTTCACCTTCTTGATTAGATCCACCAAAATTAATTTTGCCCAAGGTTGCCGACCATTCCAACCCTAACACCACATCTACTTCCTCCAATTCAGTGAGTACAAAAAATTCATGAATCTGTAAGTACACTTTTACCCTTGCAGTTGATCTTATGCTCATCTCCCACTTCTACAAGATAAAGAAATGTTTCAGTGATTGGTAAGTGTAGTTTGTCTACCATCTCTAGTGATATAAAATTATGTGGCACCATAATCAATCAAAACTACCACTCAACAACCCTTTAGCAAACCCATAACTTGAGAGATTTCTATGTTAAGTCCCTTGATGCTATACAAGGACAGTTGCGGCTCCCCAACCCCTTCCTCATGAAGATTTAAGTTTCTAGCTTGATCTTTATCTTCTTTTATATCTTCAAGGATCATCACATTAAGCTGCTTGCTTTTTGCATATATGGTTAGGCCCAAATTTCTCAGTACAGTGAAAACACTCCCCTTTTCTCATCTTTTCTTGCAACTCTACTTACATCATTGGTTGGAAGGTACTTCTCCCCTTTGCAGTATCGTTGCTCACATTATTAACAGAGGCTTGGAAAACAAAATTGCTTGTAGATTTCATCTTTGTTGGTTGCCATTCTTGTGTGGTCCTCACCTCGGTGTATGTGGAAGCAGAATTATTCATCCTTTCCCCTTGACTTCTAGTGCCTCTAGTTATTGCCATGTTTTTTTCTTCAATTCTCCTTGCCTTATTAATTGCTTCTGACAAGGTCTTGGGTTCGTATAACCTTAATTCAACATCAATCTTTCCTTTTAGCCTATTAATGAAGATTCTAATCAAATACTACTCGTCTAACCCCTTCATAGTTCTTGCATATTTCTCAAACTGCGTTTCAATTTTGTGAACCGACCGATCAACTGTCTGACTGCAGCTCAGTAACAAGGAAAAGAGTTCTCATGGATGTTGGCTGGAACCTCAATATGATGGCCTCTTTAAATCCTTCCCACGTTGGATTGGGGTTGCAAGTCTCTCACCATTGGAACCACCCCAAAGTGTCCCCGTTGAGGGCCACCACAATAGCTTCCATCTTCTCATGCATCACCCTCGCATCCTAAACTGCCTCTCCAATTTGGACACCCATCCAAATGCATCATTAGGCTCGGTCATCCATAACAATGGCAGAAGCTTTGGTGGTCAAGTGGTTGGCACATCCTTGACCACGAAACCAAAGTTGAACCACAACTGCCCAGGTCATGTAAACAATTCTGTCAATTTTTTACACGGAATCAGGGGAACGGCGGTAAGCGTCGTGGACGAAGCAGAAGCAGGAGCAACCATGGGAGATGATGCATAAAGGGACTAGAATCAAACAAGGTCAGGCAGAGGTCCAACGAGGCCAAACAGGGTCGTCAGAGGCAGTTGACCACTGTCGAGGGGTCGTCAGAAAATGATTTCACATGCATGTACTATTCATGCGGTAAAATACATTCTAAGCTCTAGATAATATGTTGTGATTTGGGAATTGCTTGTCAATCTTCAACACACATAACTCTTATTTATAATAAAAAAAATAAGGATTTACTTGATATGATATGATTAGCTAAGATATGATTAACCCTAATAAATCTCCACAATATCTTAACATTCACAATTATTATGATAACTATTTTCATTAACATGTTTTTATAAAAACTGATTATATATTATAAAGCAATCACACCTGCCATTTTATAAATGTTATAGTAAAAAAAGTATTTATATATTTAGTAGTTTACACTTGCATGTTTTTAAAAGTCATAAAGGCTAAGATGTAATGGTCTTTTACTATTTTAAATATAATTAATTATCTTAAAAAAGACAATGAAATTTAAAAATGCATGTAATTCTATAAGTAGTCAATGTCATAGTCAAATATTAAAGTGCAAGTCAAAGAAACTAAAATTTGAAAAGTCATATAGCATCTTCATAATAAGCTGTCTATGTCATATCAAAGCCAAACCAAAGGCCTCAAATATAAAAAATGAAAAAAATATAAATACCAATCTACCAACAAATAGAAACATTTGTAAAATGTAAAAATGAATACATTACAATAAATTCTTTCCTTCTAGGTAATTTATGACTGAGAATTCAATTCAAATAGAAAATAAAAAGTAGTTTTCTTATCACTTATTTTATTTCAAATCATCATTCTTTGTCCTCCACAATGGTATTCAAGCTCTCTTTAAGAAGTATTACAACTTCTAAATTCATGGTCTCTGCATCATCTTCATTATCTTCGTTATTGTTAAAATATTGTGGAGATTTATTAGGGTTAATCATATCTTAGATAATCATATCATATCATGTAAATCTTTATTTTTTTCATTATAAATAAGTTATCTGTGGTGAAGATTGACACACAATTCCTAAATCACAACATGGCATCTAGAGCTTAATTTTTTTTTACAATTTTGGAAAAGATCATACAAGATTTACAAATTTAATCTAGCCTAATTGTGTACAACTAGTTGATATATTTAAGATACAATAATTCTAACTTGAGCAAACATTATAAATAATTACAGCACAACATGCGCAATCTCATCAATATCGTTTTTCCTTTCCTGCTTACTCAGGCTTACTGAGAGATCTCTTTTTTTTTTTTAAAAAAAAAAAAAAGATTTTTTCCTCTAGAAGAAGCTGTCTCAAACTTGCACATAGGTGTTTTGTACATAACATTCTCATAGGTATTTTTTAGTAGAGCTACTAGAATGATTGGCAAATAATTATTGCCAATTTAATTTATTTATAAATTGTTTCCTTGCACACTGCATGGAAATTTTTTGTTTTTGTGAATGATTTAGTGTTACTGTTGTCTCATTTGAGATTTCCTACTGAATCAATCTGTGAGTAGGTTTTATTTGTTGTTACTTAAGAAAATGTTTTTTTTTTTGTTGACAAGGTGAAGATGTTTTCATTGTACAGTTTGACGATGTTATATGTATGATAATTCTTTTTCTACTTCAGGTTTTACTTACTGTTGATTCTGTTAACTCATACATTGCATGGGATTTTTCATTGGTACAAGGCAAGATAAATATGGTATCGTTGCTGTGCTGCTACACCTTAATTTCAGTATGTTATATTTTTCATAGACATCACTATATTGTGATCTTTCTTTTGTTTATTGTTAGGATATTGGATTTAGTTTGGAGTTTGTAAGTTCTACTGGGGAAAAAACTGTAAGTTTGAATGGCATTTCTCTTTTTTAATCTGTATTATATTCTCAAATGGTTTCATCAGAAGTATTTCTTATGTTATTCTTCATCAGCCATTCTCATCTTCAATATTTTATCCTTACCCCATCTTGAGACCTACTATAGATTAAGATGTCATCAAAATAAACAACAACCAATTTTCCTATACACTCTCTTAAGACATGATTCATAAGCCTCATGAATGTACTTGGTGCATTAGTTAAACCAAAAGGCATAACTAGCCACTCATACAATCCAAATTTGGTCTTAAAAGCAGTTTTCCACTCATCACCCTTTTTAATTCTTATTTGGTGATAACCACTTTTAAATCAATTTTAGAAAATATAGAAGCACCATGTAATTCATCAAGCATATCATCAAGTCTAGGGATTGGGTGCCTGTACTTGATTGTGATATTGTTAATGGCCCTACAATCACAACACATTCTCCATTTTCCATCTTTCTTGGGCACTAACAATACAGGCACAGTACAGGGACTCAAACTTTTTTGCCCCCCCCCCCAATTTTTTTCTCCTTTCCGGTGTCTGTTTTGCCATTTCTCATTTTTGTGGTGGCTGATTCATTATGACACATGACACAGCCAATGTTACCGTACCGTCGATTCGAGAGTGACCAAGTGAGTTTGACATGTTTGTTGCAGCTTATACACTTGACTAGGTATTTGATGTGTTTGTACTTAGTTTTTGTGCCTATAATGTTAGGGGAACTTCTGCACGTTAATGGCTGGAAGCTATAAACTGATCTGGGACAACACATATTCAACCTTTTTCAAAAAGGTAATGTATCTAGGCATGTTGACCGATTCAGTGAGATGCAAACTGTATATCACTTGGACTGGTTACTAAACACAAATGCTTGTTGGGCTAACATACTGATCAAATTGCATGGGGAGTCAGGTTAGGTACTACCTTCTTGAGAGCGCGTGTTACTTGGAGGATTTTCTCATTCTTTCACATGATCTATTCATTGTTATTGTGCGATCTTCAGTCATTACTATTAGTCAATCACATGATCTGTTCATTGTTGTTGTGTGATTATTTTTTTTCTTTTGTTGCTGCTACGTATTGGCTTCACACATCTTTTTCAGTTTCATTTTTTTTATTGAAGCGTTGGGCTTCCTTCACTTATTTCATCCTGTTGGAGTATTTGTTGCTACGTATTTCTCATAGACTGGGCATGTACTGCAAATGGTACCATTTTCTGATGTGCATTATCGTATATGGTATGTAGGTTCTACGGTACAAGATAGATTGTATACCTCCTGTCACAGAGTCAGTGCAGTCCAACTGATGCAAGTTGTGGACGAGGAAGGATGGCCGATTCATTTGCTAGCATTTGCTAGTAATTTTAATCCAATTAAAAACACATGTTCCAATTACCCATGTCAAGATTGATCCACCCCCTATTTATTAGTGATGGGAAGAGCTGGGAAAAATTAATCTTTTGTATAAAATTGTTATATATTTAGTTATTATGTGTGGTTGTAGCCTGTAGCAAGCTGTGACTGTGCTACAATGGGCGCAAATTTAATCCTCAGTGAATGTATATTTTCCATTTCTACAGGCAAATAATCGCAGTGGAAAACTAAAGAGATAAACATGTGAGGATCAAGTGGGTATGGTTTCATGTCCCCACTGTAGATTAGAAATTAGATACCGGATTTGGTGAGTTTATTTTGCAAGCATGTGTGTATAGAAGAAAAAAAAAAAAAGACAAGTAAATATAGGTTATGCCACACCCAAAGCACCACCGGCTAAACTTACCAACAAGAAACATTTACATGTTTCATCGTATTGTTATAGGTAAAATTTAATTGTTATCGAACTATGCATTGCGATTGATCGAATTAATATTGCCTGGAAAATATTATCTAAGCGAGGTGCCTTATACCCTTTTTATTATTTGGCCAAGTATGTGATCAAATATTTGTTAAGATTTATGTATGATAGGAAGTGATGGTTTGAAAAAATCACAAGACTTTGAATAAAGTTTTGTCATTTTCAGAAATCCCAAAATATGATGTTTAAGAAATTTGGCAATTGTTTTTTCAAATTAGTTATATTAATTCGAGCAGTTTCACAATAATACTGAAATATTGTTATTCATTTTTAGAAAACATGAGTAAAATGCAGAGCAGTAAATCAACATTAAGAAGCTACTATACTTATTCAGACCAATAACTACATTGAAAACACAGTAGATAGAAAGTTATTGTACAAATGTTAAAATCTTATATTTTGACAGTTAGACTTGGAAAACTATAAAAATAATAACTTAGGCATTTGTTTTTTTTGTGATTACATTACACTCTACATTTCAAAAATCGCTCATACCGATGCGAATAGCTCAAGGTTCTTAGAAAATAGTATATGTACTTAACTATTCAAGGTGTGATGGTAAAATATTATATTTTGACTATAAGATTAGGAAAAATATAAATAAGAAAACTTTAAGTCATTCTTTTTTGCGATTATATTACACGCTACATTTCAAACATTGCTCACGGTGACATTAATAGCTCAAAGTTATTAGAAAATAGTGTGCATAATTTTCCATTCATAGTACAGTTCTTTTTTCTCGAATTGTCTTTCATAACTCTGTTTTGATAACCCCTTTACGTCCTATAACCCTATTTTTATTGCATTTAGTTTGTATATATAACTCCTGTTTATGACCCCTTCAACTTTCCATAATTGATTCTCCTTTTAATAACTACTTCTTAAATGTTGGTTATATTATTATTTAACTTATAAAACTGGTATAAAAGTATCAAAATACTATAAGATGGTTCATATTTAAGTTCAATTAAGATATTACAATAAAAAACCCAAAAGATCTAAGGTCCACGCTAGTTCATAGGAAAAAAAATTATGCTAGGGATGGAAACAAGTAGGGTTTAAATAAGGTAGTATATTTAACTTATAAAACTGATATAAAAATATCAGGATACTATAAGATCGTACACATTTAAGTTCAATTAAGATATTGTAATCAAAAACCCAAAACATCAAAGCCCGATTCTAGTTCATAGGAAAAAATAATTCTGTTAGGGATGATAATAAGTAGGGTTTAAATAAAGTAGTATAATATCCTTCCTCTTATTTATAATTGAAAAAAAAAATACATATAACCGCCCCAATACTAGTGTGTATAACAATTATAATCTTATTCTCGTACTCATTAGATACCTATATACCCACACTCGATACTCACACTTTACTACATGTAAAATAAATCAATCAATAAAAATATTAATTGAAAAATTGTTACAACTAAATTGAAAATTCACTCTTAAGTTTTTTTTGGTGTTGAAATTCACTCTTAAGTTAGCCAAACATAATTTCAAATCATTCAAATATAAGTCATAACTTATAATCAAACAATATTAGAAACATAAATATCTAAATATAAATTATAATTATTTAACATTATCATTAGTAGGAGTCAAAACAAGTCAAAACAAGTCAGGTTACAGATTAGTGTGTCTAAGTCTAATCTGTCTTATTTACTTGTTACAAATATTTTTTAAGGTCTAACATGATTTGTCTGATAGTTTATTTACAAAGTTTGTTTAACAAGCTTTGTTCATAATCTAAATTATTTATGCATTTTTTCTATACAATTGTTATACTAAGGCTCAAATCTAAAATCTCTAGTATACTACTCCAACTTTCTCCCACTAGTTTGACCTAATGATTCTAGTTCATTCTTTGTAAATACTAATAATAATAATATTAAAAAATTAACAAGCTACTATATTTAAAATAAAGATTAAATATGTTTTTAGTTCCTAAAATTTTGTCAATTTTGTTTTTTAGTTTGTGAGTAATTTCTTAAACTCATTTTAGCCCCTATTTTTTTTTAACCAATTTTCACTTTTAGTTCTTAAACTTTTTCTCTCGTTAATATTTTGGTCTAGGCATAATAAAAATTGTTTATGGGAAAAACCTTTTAGAAAAAAAATTAATAACTAAAACTAATTTAATTAAAAAAGACTATAATCTTCTTTATAAAACTAAATTTTCAATTCTGCTAATGGAGATTATATATATATATAT